TTCCTATAATTATTTTGCTAAATATGGATATTTTCTACAGGAAGGAATGAGTGGAGGCTCTACAAAGTTACACTCCTAAAATTAGAGTTGAGCAAGTGCAGGGTTACAAAAGGCGAGCGCCTCCTCGCCTTTGGCGAGAGGCGAGGGGTCCTCGCCTTTGGAGAGAGGCGAGGGGTCCTCGCCATTCTCTGCCGAGGCGAGGCAAGGCGATGGTAAAAAGGCGAGGTGAGGCGCTGCAATGGCGAGAGAAAAGGCGCCGCCTTTTTAATTAAAATTTTTTGACTTAATAATATTAGTCAGAATTAGGGTTTTTTTTACTTTTGAAATTTTTGAAATTCATCGCGACTCTGTCTCTCTCTCGATTGACTCTCTTCTCTTCTCCTCCATCGCTGTCTCTTCTCCCTCGCTCTCCATCGCTGTCTCTTCTCCCTCGCTCTCCATCGCTGTCGCTTCTCCCTCGCTCTCCCTCGCTGTCAGCTTCTCCTTCTCTCAAGTTCTCCCTCGCTGTCGATTCTGTTCTCCTTCTCCCTCGTCGGCCGTCGACTCACGAGTTTCCTCTGACCCTCGCGACTCTCTGTTTTCAGGTATTGTTTTCTCTCTTCTTCTTCAACAATTTTTTTCTGTTCTTCTTCTTCATTTTTTTTTCAGTTAGTGTTTTTTTGGTGTAACTTGTAAGGTAGTAAGGTTGTAAGCAACTAAGCAGTGCTTAGTTGCTTACTGCTTTGTGTAAACATTTTTTTTTAAATTATAGGCAATTAGTTAAAAAAAATCTCTCTTTTCTTAATTATTTATTCCAATATTTCTAAACAGCGAATTAATTGAATTTAATAATCAATGGCGGATGCTAGCAGAAAGAGGGACATTGGATGGAATTATGGCACTCAAGGAGCGACGAAAGATTCGGTTAATTGTAACTTTTGTGGGAGTACTTTCAATGGTGGAATAACTCAACACAAACAACATTTAGTTGATGGTTTCAAGAATGTTAAACAATGTGTCGCTTGTCCGTCGGAAATTAGAGAAGTAAGGGCTTATATGCAAAACAAAATAGCTAATAATCCCGAATTTCAAGTGAGGCAGCCGGAAGAATTTGTTGATATTGATGATCTTGATGAAATGGATGATTATGCGGGAATGAGGCCTCCCTCCAAAACTCAAAAGATATATTCTAGTGGAGGTTCATCCACCGCACGGAGTGTGACGAAAGGACCTTTGAACCTCTATTTTTCACAAAAATCAACACAAAAAGGAGGCTTAGAAAAAGGAGGAGGAATAGAAGAAACAAAAAAATTCTAAGAGAGCGTGCGGTAAGTGCTTTTGCAATTTGGATGTATGATGCCGAGCTCCCTTTTAATTGCGTCAATCACAAATCATTCGATAAATTTATTAAGGCGGTTGGACAACATGGCCCCGGAATGAAGCCTCCTACATTCCATGAAGTTAGAGTCACTCACCTTAAAAAAGAGGTGGATAAAATAGAAAAAATTGTTGATAAGCATAAAGTGCAATGGACAAAGTTTGGATGTTCCATTATGATGGACAAATGGACGGCACGAAATGGCAAAATGATCATCAATATTTTGGTGAATTCTCCAATCAATTAGTATATTTCTTGGTTCTATTGATGCTAGCAATGAATCTACCGATTCCACCAAAATGTACAAGTTATTTGAAAGCACTATCGAAAGAATTGGACCGGAAAATGTGGTACAAATTGTCACCGATAATGCTAGTGAGAATGTCAAAGCGGGAAGTATGATGATGGGTGCGTATCCACACATTTATTGGACTTCATGTGCCGCTCATTGCATCAACTTGATATTTGGTGACATATTCAAGGTTAGACATATGCTTCCAGTAATCAACCTATCCTTTAATTTTCTTTATAGTCAATAATTCATTAGCTACTAATTAATATAATTTAATCTTTCTGTAACAGTTTTTAAGAAGGCCATCAGAATCCATTCTTACATTAGTCAAAGGCCATTGTTGTTAAACTTGATGAGAAAATTCACCAAAGAAAGAAATTTGGTGAAACCGGCCAAGACGAGATTTGCAACGACATTCTTAACTTTGAGAGCTATGTACATACAAAGAAAAAACTTGAAAACTTTAGTCCTCTCAACCGAATGGAATTCAAGTAAATTTGCAAAGGAAACTTTGGGGAAAGAAGTTGTCAATCTTATTATTTCTGTCCACTTTTGGAATGATGTTGTTTGGGCACTTACAGTTTGTAGCCCTTTGACAAAAGTGCTTCGTTTGGTGGATGGGGAGAAAAAACCACCAATGGGCTATATTTATGAAGCAATGGATAGAGCCAAAGAATCTATTGCACATGGTTTTCGTGGAGTTCAGAAGCATTATGAGAAAGTGTTTCAACTTATTGATGCAAGGTGGTCAAAACAACTCCATCGGCCTTTGCATGTTGTAGGTCATGTTTTGAACCCAGGATTATATTATAAAGCTGAAGAAGAGGGAACTTTATTACAGACTTTGTGGACCGAGTATTATGCATGTGTTGAGAAGTTGGTCCGTGATACAACAATACAAGATGCACTAATCGCTTAGCTTCCTAAGTACAAAATGGCGGATGGACTATTTGGTTGTGGTCCGGCTAAAAGATCTAGAGACACAAGGTCACCGGGTAAATGAGTTGATTTAGATCTTACTTAAATTATTTGACTTATTTATAGTCACTAACCTTTAAATTTTTATTATAGTTGAAAGGTGGTCACTATTTGGTAGTGAAACACCAAACTTGCAAAAGTTTGCCATGAAAGTATTAAGCCTAACTTGTAGCTCATCTGGATGTGAGCGAAATTGGAGTGTGTTTGAACACTTAAGTAAATATTTATATCCTATTTTTCATATTATATTATTATAAATATCAACTAGTTAATATCAATAACTTATGCATAGATTCATTCCAAAAAGAGGAATAGGCTTACACTATCGCGTCTCAATGATCTAGTTTACATTAAGTACAATAGAACATTGAAACGTCGTTATGATGCTCGTGATCTTATTGATCCAATTCGCTTGGATAACATAGATGATTCAAATGAATGGTTAGTTGGATGCCCCGAAGATCAAGATGATGAACTAGTATATGAGGATGATGATCTTACTTGGGGTAGCGTTGCTACGACAATTGGAGCGGACGAGAGTATCTATCATCTTAGGGGACTCTCTTCAAGATCAACAGTACTTGACAAGGGCAAAGGAGTACAAAGTACATCTACAAGTTCATCTTCAAGTAGGACTCAGACACTAATTGATGAAGAATACGAGGAGTAAGAAGATGAAGAGCAATATAATGATGTAGAGGATTTTGATCTTCAAGAGTTGGATAATTTTGAAGAAGAATCAACTTTTGAAGTTTTGGTTTATTGTATTTTGAATTGTTTGGTCTTTAAAGTTTTAGACATTTTAGTATTTACTATTGGTTTTTGAATTGAATATTTGCTAATATGTGTTATTTCTATTATGATTTTGGATAAAATATGCAATTAAATATTTTTAATTTTTGGTATTAATTGGCGCCTTTATTCAAAAAGGCAAGCGCCTCGCCGCTCGCCTCGCCCCGTGGCGAGGCAGGCCCTTGTCGCCTTTTGTCGCCTCTCGCCGTCCACAACACTGAGCAAGTGTTATGGACAATACCTGAGACAAAAAGTCTCAAGTGCAATACAGATGGATCATCAAGGGGAAATCCAGGAAGAAGTGCATGGGGGTTCAGTGTGAGAAACGATTTAGGGGATGTTATAGAGGCACAAGGCCACAAGCAACAGAAATAGAAGATTCTTGTACGACAAACACACAAGCACAAGCAATGGCTATACTTCAAGCTTTAAGGTCCATCAAGACCATGGAATATATACATGCGACCATTGAAACTGATTCCCTTCTTATGGAAAAGGTGATTAAAAAGAATTGGGAAGTTCCATGGCAGATTGTCAATATCGTGGATGAAATTTGGGATCTTATGAGAGATGAGATATGTTGGTGAATCATATATTAAGGGAAGGAAACAAACTTGCTCATTACTTAGCAAATTATGCCCTTGATTATGGAAGCCTACAGATAACAAATTTTCACCAATTAGATGTAGAGGGGAGAAAGATAATTAACAATGATAAACTTCAGATTCCATATCTTAGAAGGAAAACTTGTAGATTGTTAGGAAGTTTGCTTCAAAATAATTATTACTATATGAAATATTTAATAAAAATAAATGTAAATAATACTGATTCACAGGACGAAAAAACACAAAGAAGGTAAAGTGGAAGGCAAAATCAGTTACATTTGAAGAATCATACATGGGCAAAATCAACCATCAAAACATTATGGACCCGAAAAGAAAACTTGCCACCAACAAATACAAGAAAATGAAAGGGAAATTACCTGTCAAACAGAGTAAGAACGAGCAGCTGCAGAAAGATGAAGCAACAACAGTGGTGGATGTGCAAAATAAGGCTGGAGCTGGTGCAAGGATCATATTGGCGAACTACCAAGGAAGAATCGAGCATATCTCGTCACTTTAGAATAAGGGTTCTCTTTCTGTTTTTGTATCCAATGTACTTTCCTTTTTTTTTTAAAGTAGTTTTGTAGCTATGCAGACTTTTTCACTTTAAAAAATAGCCTGACGGGGGCCTTGATTAAAAAAAATAAATAAAAAATTATATATCAATGCTACTTACATGATTTAGATTGTTAGGAAGTTATTTCAATATTTAAGACTAAGAAAAATTTATATGACTCGTAATAACGCTTTTTGAAGTTTGTATTAATTTAATTTTTATTATTATTTAATATATATTTTTTATAATATAAATATTTTCATGATGCAAATAAATAATTATATTTAGATATGTATTTGTATTATATTGAAGTATTATATATATCACTAATGTATTATCAAGTTAACAAAATTTTCCAACTTCAAAATATATCATTTTAAAATATTCGAGTTGTTTTTTAAATAATAATAAAAATTCGAAAAATGTGATTAGATGAATCATTTTAAATTTATAATTTACAAAATAAAATATTTAGTAATATGGAATAAACATTTTCATTTTGTCCCGACACCAAATAAAAATCT